AAAACGTCGACGGCAAGGGATATCTGCAAAATCCAATGCTTACTAGGGAGGTAACGAGTAAGTTAAGCCCTCACTTACGGTCGCGTTGGTGTGATTATGCGGAGCACTACGGGAGTGCAGACGAGCCGGACATCGTTACACTGTCCAGGTTCATGATGAGAGAGGCTGATCGTGCGTTGAGTCATGCCTATACTTCCGTAGAGCCGACTAAGGAATCGCCCGTAAGACGAGAGGCGCCGCCGTCGAAGAGGATAGTGACACGCCGCGTAGAGAATAGGGCTCGCGACGTAAAAACGTTCACCGCACAGGAGGACACCGGTAGTGCCTCTTGTATGTGCTGCGGAGGTGAACACGCGATCGCAAAGTGTAGAAAGTTAGCGCAAATGGGTGTGGACGACCGGTGGAATTGGGTAAAAGAAGACGGGGTATGTTTTCTATGTTTAAACAGTAAACACCGACGGTTTAAATGTAAAGCAAAGAAATGCGGCATCGACGGCTGCAACGCCCCCCACCACGCCCTCCTTCACACCCGCAAGACCCGCGCACCTGAGACATCGGCCAAACCGGATGAGACCGTACTCGTCGCGTCTAACGTCGGTCGGAATGCATCCGTATTGTTGAAAGTGTGTCCCATTACGTTACGTGGACCACACGGTAAGGAAATAGACACGTACGCGTTGCTCGACGAAGGTTCGACTATTTCGTTGATCGATGACGACTTAGCGCGTGAGTTAGGAGCAGAAGGACCGGTAAAGCCGCTGAATATTAGGGGAATAAGCAATAGTCAGCGCGAGGCCGATAGCAGGCTAGTCAACATAGGCATACGTGGAAAATCGCGCAGCGAGATGTATAGAATAAATGCGCGTACAGTAACGAATTTACAGATAGGTTCGCAGTCGGTGAATAAAGAGTGTTTACGTCTAAAGCATTTACGCGACCTACCGAGCTCGGTTTGCTATGAGGACGCCAAACCGAGATTATTATTAGGAGCCGACAATTGGCATTTAATAATCACCCGTAACTTGAGGATAGGGCGTCGAAGGCAGCCTATAGCTGCACGTACGTTATTAGGATGGGTGATACAAGGAACCGTGCCGCGAGTCACGTGTAGGGAGGACGGTGAAACCGTGTTACACGTCGTAAGCAGTAGCGGACGGATAGATAGGGACATCCGAACGTTCGCGAGTCAAGACGAGGAGATAACGGAACTCCTCAAACGGCAGTACGAGATCGATTCCATCGGTATCTCGCTAAGGAATAGGCCGCGACGGGAAGAGGAACGCGCTGTCGAGATATTCCAGCGCACCGTCAAGAAGGTCGGCGATCAATACCAGGTGGGACTGCCATGGAAGGACGACGACGTGCGGATGCCTCCTAGCTACGAGATGGCTGCTAGAAGACTGCGGACGATCGAGAGGAAAATGGACAAATCGCCGGAAGTATCACGACTGCGGCTGTCTAGGTGCTATGCTCCTACGGGGGGAGTGGTAGAGCGTCAGCTCCACGTGTTCAGCGACGCAAGCGAACGTGCGTACGCATCCGCGGCGTATTGGCGATTACGATACCGCGACGGAACGGTTAAGGTACGATTAGTGGCGGCCAAGGCGAAAGTCGCCCCGATAAAGGCGCAAAGCATACCACGGTTAGAATTGCAGGCGAATCTGATAGGCGCGCGACTCGCGGAATTCGTGCAAGGCGAGCACAGAGTGGTAGCCGATAGGGTAGTTTATTGGACAGACTCCACTACGGCGCTCCATTGGATTCAAAACGATACGGCGCGTTACACCCCATACGTAGCACATAGATTAGGGGAAATATCGGAGAAGACGTCACCCGAGCAATGGAGGTGGATACCGACCGCAGACAACATCGCGGATCAGGCAACGCGCATTAATTATACGTACAAGGAAGAGAGCGACAAATGGTTTACGGGACCGCCATTCCTGTACGAAGAGGAAGATCGATGGCCTCGACGACGGGAAGAGAAGGCAGGGGATGAAGATGACGAGCTGGAGGAAGTCGTGGCGCACCAGAGCGACACCAGGGGCGCTCCACACCTGCCAGACATCGAGAGGTTCTCTTCTTACGAGAGATTGGTCAGGGCCACCGCTCGGATATTACAGTTCGTCGATGCCATGAGAGGAAAGGCGCACGGACTAACATTGGACCACATCCATAAAGCAGAGCGGATGTGGATAGAGCGAAGTCAACAAGAGAGTTTTGCTGAAGACATCAGTCGACTGCAGAAAGGAAGGAACTTGGCAACCGGCAGCGCGTTAAGGAAGCTCGACCCCATATTCGAAGATGGCGTACTGCGAGCTAGAGGACGGATTGACGCAGCCAATGTGGACAGCCAAATGAAGAGGCCCATCATCCTGAACGGACGCCACCAGTTTGTAAAGCTGCTTGTGGAGAAGGCGCATAAGGAAGCAAGCCACGCCAACAGGGAACGGGTAGTGAACGACCTACGCACGAGATATCACATACTTCGACTACGACCGACCGTACGAGAAGTGGAGCGGAGATGTCTGCGGTGCAGGGTACGCAAGGCGACACCACGGCCAGCGGTTATCGGAGATCTACCACCTGAACGGTTAGGGGCATTCGCGCGACCATTCACCTACACCGGAATCGACTATTTCGGGCCTATAACGGTAACAATAGGACGTAGGCATGAAAAACGGTGGATAGCGTTATTCACTTGTTTGACGACGCGCGCGGTACATTTAGAGATAGTTTATTCCCTAACGACGGACTCGGCGATATCGGCATTGCGGCGCATGGCGGCTAGGCGTGGGTGGCCACGGGTCATCTACTCGGATAACGGGACAAACTTTCATGGGGCGGACACCGAATTACGACAGGCGATGGAAGAGTGGGCACCCCTGCTGAAGGACTACGCGTTGACTCGGCGGACGGATTGGAAGTTCATCGCGCCGGGTGCGCCGAACCAGGGAGGCGCATGGGAGCGTCTCGTGCGCTCGGTGAAGACCGCGCTCGAAGCCACACTCAATCAGAAGAGCCCACGGGAGGAGACATTAGCGACGCTCCTCACAGAAGCCGAAAACACCGTTAACTCTCGACCGTTGACGCACGTACCGGTCGACATCGACGAAGAAGAGTCATTGACACCCAACCACTTCTTGCTGCTGGGACCATCGAGCCTTCCAGTGACCGCGCCGTGCACGACTAATGATCGTCGGGCGTGGAGAGCGGCGCAGGGACTTGCCGACGAGTACTGGAAGCGCTGGGTGAAGGAATACCTGCCGACGCTGGTTGCGCGCGGAGACTCAAGGGACGTGCAGCAGCGCCCGGTACAAGAAGGAGACCTCGTCGTGGTGGCAGACGGAACCATGCCGCGGAACGTGTGGCCAAGAGGAGTTATAACGAGGACCTTTCCCGGACCAGACGGCGTGGTACGGAACGTTGAAGTGAGGACCAGGGGCGGATTGCTGCGGCGGCCGGTCAGGAGGATCGCCGTCCTCCCGAGTGCAGCCTAGGCTCGCAAGGCTACGCCGGGGGGAGAATGTTACGGACAGCGAGAGACCCGCCGCCCCGTCGCCCCTTCGTTCCCCGTTACGTCCCGCGCACCCCGCACGCCGGCGCTGATCACGCGATATCGGGCAACCAATCAGCGCGCGTGCGGCGAAAATTGCCATCGGGCGGCTAACCCGACGAAATGAAGCGCTCTTCTCGGAAATATAAGAAGGGCGCCTCGGACGGTCGTTGTTCATTCGGGTTCATTCGGGTCATTCGGATCATTCAGAAGCATTCAATCGGAAGCGGCAAGGAAGAATCAAGACAGAAGACTCCATACTGAAGACCTCCCTTTTGTATAGTGATTTAGTTAATAGTGCCGAACCCTTGTAAATAGTGAATATAGTATAATTAAAAGTACCATCTTTTCTTCGAGCAGTCCCCTAGTATAGCTAACCTCACACCGCCAGTTAAAATACCAAATACAGTCCACTACTCTCCATCCACTTTAACGTCCAAGTCACATCTATGCCAGTGGTGTTGGGAGCACTAATCTCGAATTTGTTGATGAGTATGTTTACCTGGGACAAATAGTCTCACTAGGTAACTCCAACTTCGACGGAGAGGTCAATCGACGGGTTAAACTTGGCTGGGCAGAATTCGTAAAATTACGGCACTACTCGTCAGGTATACCTCAAAACTTTAAAATGAGACTGTACAGCCAACCAGTGCGTGTTGCCAGTGATGACTTCTGGAGCTGAGACATGTTCCTTCACTGCTGGCCGTATGAGGAAGCTCCAAGTCGCTTAGCAAGCTATGGAGAGGGCTATGCTCAGGGTTTCTCTGCATGATAAACTTAGAAATGAGGATATCCACAGTAGAACCAGAGTGACCGACATAGCCCAACGGATTAGTAAGCTCGAAGAACCGACTACCAAAAGGGAAAATAGCTTCTGGAGTGGCAGCCTCATACCAGTAGGCGGAGTGAAGAGCGACCCCCACAAGATGGAGTGATGACCTGGTAAGACATGCAGGAAGTCGAAAGGATTGAGGTGGCTCAGGACCATGCTTTCCGGCATTCCTTGGGGTAGGCCTATGTTCAGCAATGGACTTGTGAAGGGCTGTAATGAATGATGGACACGTTGAAACTCCATTGCTTACAGTTTATCATGTTTTATTAAGGTGAAGAAGGTATTATTATGGTGAATGTACAGTCAAAAGTTGATATTCTTTTACTTATAGTTTCTTTGGTAGATGTAGATGTCTATGCAATAGCATCCACTTACCGTCAGGTGGACTATGTCCTTGTTTGTCATCTTAATTCTATAAAAAAATTAGAAAACATTCTATATTGAAATCCTTTCAATTCCTAGTTATGTTTTAATAGTTAACAGTGACTAAGTCATTTTAATCAAATACAAAAAAATATATTCAATATACAGTATGGTTTAATAACTATCATATGATATATATATAGCATGAATATCTTAATTCTTATCATGTCAATGTTTGTTTGTTCACAGATTTGTTGAATATTTGATGGAAAATGATGGGAGTTGCAGAGAGAATGACGTACAAAACCTAGCAAAGGAGCAATGGCTATTAAATGATTTAAAAGAAATTTGTCCTGGCTCCCTTCCATCAAATTTAAAAAGTCAACAAAAAGTAACTCTTAATGGAAGATTTGTGCTCCAGATAAATGCGTGTGTTGATATAGGTGATTCTTATTTTCTACAGACTTCCAAATGGAGACGGTACTCAATTCGACTGTGTTTTGTTACCTCATAACTTTTTACTGGGTGAACCGATTTCAATGATTCTTTTTTTTATATTGATGTTGGTTGTACAATATTCTTAATTTTAAATTATAATCACACTGTATAAGGTGATTAGTGTGATGTACCTTTATCAAGGTGTTCTCTCCAGTGTATAATATTTAGTCTAGATATGTTTGCATATTATGAAAGTAATCTGGTTTTGTTTTACTCTGATCTATATATTGTACTAAAATATCATCTTCTTGGATGCTAAATGGTTTTACTAATGGTGAAATAGTTTTGAGAAAAAAAATGTAATGTTTGCTTGTGCTACAATATTAAGTATTGATAAAAATTAGCTCCTATCGGACCAAGCTGTTGTGTAATAATAACTTTGACTTTCATGATTGTAATCTACAATATTTAAAATATGTATTGGCACTATCTACATAATATGTATATCTATCACATCGGACCTTGCAGGTTAACTACATTTCATAAAAATGTCATTAACTTCTTTATTAACTTCCTTCTGCGTAGCATTGAAAGGAAGTTAATGGTTTTAGCTGGCAGTCTGTTAGTCTGTATGCCGACACGATAACTTCCGTTCCACTGAACCGATTGACTTTAAATTTGGTATGTGGATACCTTGAGGTAGTAGCTCGGTCGAGTTTGAATTTGGGTCCTGTAGGTCAAAGGGCACCAGAGATATGGGATTCATGCAGAAGGAAGTTGTTTTTCTTGAATTTACATTCAACTCGTTTATAATGAGGTAGACACATTGTAGTTATTAGGCTGGTTTTTCGCTATGGGATATAATATATATTATATCCCGAAATATAAATTATATCCTGCGATTGGCTTTCACACTGTGAGATATATCTTTTAACCCCCTGTACTCCGCACATGGTTCTGCGGCGGTGCGGAACGGTGTGCGGGGTACAGGGGGGCGAAATATAATATGAAAATATCGCTCTGTCGATTGAAAAATATTTATAGTTTGAGATGTAATATAAATTATAGATCAGTGTAAACGGTTCCATTTAAAAGTATGGTGAGCGATATTAATTTATATCTTGAGATATATTATATCTCATAGTGAAAAGCGGGCTTTAATTATGAAATCAAGGCCAAGGCGTAACCATACATAATGTATTCGTATCTTTTTTGGTACCACAACCTCCTTTGAATTTTATGGTACATTACTATGAGGGATTACTTCCAACATTGAATTTTATATGTCTCGTTCTTCTTTATATTATAATAGAACTAGTAAAATGTTTTAAGGTACACCTGCTTACCAACAATACTTGAAGTTGCAAAAAGTTAACACTGAAAATATTGAGGCAACAACTAACTTTGAAGAAAAAATTTCAAGTCACAGGTAAAATTGAACTTTGTTTTTTCTTAACATTTTCGTTTTTGAAAAAAATATCGTTCTATGCGCATATGCTTCTGTCGACAGATAATATGGGTAATTAAAAGCCAGCAAAATTAGTTCACTGCTTTATGTAATGATACATCCATGCACTATATACAAAGAGTAGCTGTCCTAGATAAGTGTGTGTGCACTGTGACTTCTGCTCCAAAATTTTGATTTTTACTCGCCTTTCAATTAAGCTTTTGTGAATTTTAATAATATATCAGTTGCCAGAGGACATACATACTGGGTACAAAATATTGATATATTTTAGTGTAGGTTTTGTTAACAAAATACCCATTTAAATTTTGTCTCGGATTTTTGCATTACTATGTAAATAGACTATGTATTTAAAAGATTTGTTATGTGTATATAGAAAAGGTATTTGAAATCCCATACGTACTTAGACAATATAATTGTTCAGCAGCACAAATGCGAAATGTTAGAATCATCTGCTTTAAAATTTCAGAATGATAAAGTTGTATCTCACAGATGGCGTGCAGGAAGTGTCGGCTATTGAATATAGACCAATGAGGAATTTGAGTTGCGACATCACGCCCGGCTGTAAAATGTTAGTCAAAGGTTAGTTTACATACAACATATGTAGTTAAACTCAAAGCTGTATACCATATTTTTTTAAAGAATAAGAAAATAGCTGAGTAGCTTTTTTTTTTTTATAAAATTTTATTGAGAAATGATCTCGCAGTCCATTTAAGTGACCCAAATTCAAATTGAATTTAGGTGAGATGTAACCTATTTTCAATAGTTTTTTTTAATGTTTATCTGAATTTAATAATTCTGTCACTCATGAAGTTCTATGTTATACACCCCAGTTTTAGGTTCATTAATAGAAAGGAAGGAGGTCTTTCTATTGATATTATCACCTTCCTTTGTCACCGCCAAAAAGCATTAAATAGCGATTTTGTAATTTTTTTGGAATAGTGTACATTTATTTTAGGTATTAGTTATTGAGATATTTAGATGACATTCCATTTTTTACCTTAAGTTTCTGATATTACTTCATACACTCAAAATGTTCAACAAATTAAATTGTTGGACATTAATTATGCTATATACAGTCTTAGCACCGATTTCGGAATATGAAGTTATTTATTATTTCTTCTTTGGGATCGGCTATTTATGTAATGATAAAATTAAACACGGTCGTAGACTATATTATAATGTTACACAAAGTTTGACTTTATAAAATTTGAGTTTATACTTGATATTATCTCGGAATACCTGTTACGGGTTTTCATTACGCTACGCTGCGGGATCTTGGGTTCTCAGAGATAATATTTGAGCATGAATGTCTATTGTTAATTTTCAGGTCTTGTTTTGTGACTATGTTCTGTTTATGTCTCTGAATTTTAGACTACCTTTAATATTTTCGTAAGTTTTAATACAACACGAATTTTTTAGGATGACTGAGTGTCTCTGTGCTTGCGTTTGTAGCACAATTAAATTACTTGTGCACTTCATAGAAGAAAAAGAAATTTATTCGGATGTAGAACAATATTATACTTCTAAATAGATGGTAATTTGATTTTTTTCAGGTCCAATCGAATGTCGCCGCGGGATGTTTCTACTGACGGAAAGTAATATAGAACTTCTGGGCGGCGAGGTGCAAGAATTAGTCGACACCAATTCTTTGGCTTGCTTGTTGTCCACAAAACTAAGCCTACCTGTAGCTGTATGTAAGGAAAACATTGATTTCACTTATTTAAACCTTTTATCTTGGTGGAATTTAAAAGCCTTGTTCTTGATAGTAGAGTGCGGTCTTAACTTAATGGCGCCTGTGAAGTAGGCAATTTTGCTGCACACGTTCGCGCTCTTCTGCTCAAATTCCCTTCGAGATCATAGACATTGTTTGTTAATATTTTATATTTAAACAAAAATGAGCCTGACATCTAGGTAAAAATGTGGTATTCAGATACATCTATTATAAAAGCTTATTTTACTTATACCACTATTTATATGCTATATAATATCGAAGTTATTACTACGAGAAGTTGGGAGCGATTTTTCAAATTAACGAGATTTCGCGCGCTCGTGATGTTGTGTCATCTCTCGCGGCTCTCACTGCTCAGCCATATACCTATGTACACAACGGTCGTACACGCTTGTTTTTCCGCATTGTTTCCTATCTAAAAAGTTTGTAAGAGTCGTTGTTGGGGGTTAATTTTAACAATTTAACATGGAAGTTGGCTATGAAAAAGGTCAATCTGACAATTTACCTAAAGCACAGAATACTTAACAGTACTACGTACAGAACGTCCATTCACCTCGCCGCACTTCAAATACCGCACCCCACCCCGCACTTCAATGTAGAATGTTGACAACACTGACACTTGAAAGAGGGCCCGCGCGTAATCGGACGAACCTGACGCGAACACACGATTTTACAGTTTAAAAGATATTGTGTTTTTATTACGATGGTGGTATATTGTGCTGTATTTTGATGCTTTTTTGGATTGCAAAGCCCAATAAACCCCCCAATAAGTTTTGTTAATTGTATGAAAGCGATGGACGATCAATTCAATTTTTTTTTCAAAAATAAAATTCTTAAGTCCGTCGGAAACGAAATTCTTAAAAAAAATAAGCAACCTTTGCGTTACCGATTGCTGCCCATGTTTTCCAAACCTTTATGTACAAAAACTGTAAGGTTTCGAATTTTCAATACCATGCGTTTTAATAATGGATCATTTAGGGATAAAACATTCAAACGAAAATATTTTAGTGTAAGTAATATTTAAATCACCTATTCTGTATTTGTTGATTGAAAAATAAAACTCTTTTAAAAGATACCTATAATTATTTCAATAGAACCCAAGCATTAGTGAATAATTACAGCGCTAGTGCAAGGTTACTTCATGTATCGCACACATTTAACGCCGCCCCGCCGGCTCAACATCGGCCGCCGCATTTCCCGCGCCATTTCGATTGATAACCGCGACACGTACGCAGCCCTACTAAATTTCACGCACACATTTGTGTGTGTACAAACGTCATTTGACTATGTATATATTAGTAATAGGTAATTAATTTGCGAGCGTTGTATATCCTGGGGTGTTCCTAATAAAGTTAATAGTTTTATGGTAGCTCAATATTTATTAAAAATAGTGACGACGACAGCAAGTAAGCATTAACTTATCTATGAAGTAGTAGTAGGTTCTTTAGTGATATTAGATATCATGTCATATCTAAATCAGGGCTGTTACAACAGAGCTAAGGGTAGCATTAGTCGAAAAGCTTAGTAAGAACTTAACTTGTGTGATATATACGCAACATCTCCACTTAAATTTCCACACTGAATTTTCATAATAATTTCTGCTTCTTGCTTTTTTTACGTTTTTCTATAACGCACCGTACAAGTCTTCATTTAACTGTTATTGACAAAGCGAACACATGAAGCACTACGCCTTTCTTTCAAGTTTTAGCAATTCTCGTGCTCGTTTAAACTTCACATAGACATGCCATGTCACGCACTTGAAAACAAAAATTAAAAATATTTTATGAGGACCTGTGTGTTTTACCTCACTATCAGGGGCTTCGGGTTCGATTTTCGAGCAGAAATGATTTCGGGTAGATTTGTTATGAATGATATTTTTATATTTTTAGAGTCATGTTTATTTAAAGTAGTTATTCAGGTTCTAAGCAGAGCTATAATAATACAGAAATATTTCACACACATTCGGCCCACTAGCGATCGTCAAAAATCGATTATAATAAAATAAATAAAATTTAGATAGCTAAGCCATATTACTTACGTATATTTATTTTTAAATGCACTCTTATGTATATGTACTCTATATATATTACGCTCATAAGAGAGCGTGGTCGGTCTGCGCGGGAATTAAAAAATAGGTGTTTGAAGAAACTATTGCCGAGTGCGATAGGGACAACTGTAGCCCAGAACGATTTTACTAACAAAAACCATGACCGATCGACGTTTCGGATTCCCCTGTTTTCTCATCGAAAACTAAGTCGATTAAATTATTTTTGGTATCAAAGTTTAAAAGGAGAATAGATCTATGCTCTTATCACTTGTTTTTATCTTAAAAACTTTTGAAATTTCTTTGATAGTCGTCTGATTACGGAGGTAAAAACGGGGCATTTTTTAAGGTTTTTGGTAAGTTATTTATTTTTGTAATAATTTTTTGGAAAAAAATATATGACAGGGGCATGCCTTCAATAGACCTAGATTTTTATAAACAAAAACGATTACTCTAGAGGCATTATCCAGGAAGAGAATAGGGGAATACATTTGTATGGAAAAAATGCAGCCCGTCTACGCTCTTAAGGCCCTTTATCCTTTACACCCCAATGGCAGTGTGATAGCAAATGAAAAATTTAATATCGATACAAGTACCTAGTGTCAGGCCTCTGTCATTCTTGCTACCTGCGTGAAATAATTACCTACAATCGCGAGGCGTCTCCGAGTTAAAACGCAGTCAGGGCTAGCGCGTTGTAGATGATTGAATGTTAAAGTTTTTTAACGCTGTTTACCTAAATAGTTTTTTGTAAATACTTGTTGAAATACTCGTAAAAATAATTTTTGTTTAGTATTTTGGTATATTTAATTGTAGGGTATATGTATGTATATTACCTACCTATTATTTCATAAATTATATTGACAAAACGTCGTTTCTACTATAATTGTTGCGGGGATGGATGCTTAATCAGCAAACAAAAGGATTCAGATATATCATTTTTTAAGTTACCGAAGGATAATGAAGGGTAAATTTATTTAATTTTTTTGTGAGATAGGTACTTATAGCGAAAAAAGAATTAAGTAATAATTTAACTACAGAAGTAATACCTAACTACTTATTACAAAACTTACTTGAAATTTACTTCACTACCCAATTACCTATTTACATACCTTGTATTTTGTCTTTTGTAATTAAAATATTTTATGTTGTAATAACACAAAATACTGTAATAAAAATTTTGTTTAGAAGATTTTTAACTAAGTAGAATACGATCACATTTCTGTTAGGAATCGTATTTCGGGTTTATTTGTTGTCTACTCTATCTACCTAGTTCTTACGAGCCAAGCATCGCGCGATTCCCGACGAACGGCCTTGCAAGTTGCATGCGTTAGGCATCACAGAACTCACATAGTAACGGAAATATAGTCTATCATTGTCATAATAGGTACTTTACCTAAGTAACTTCCTTACAATTTCACAACGTAGATATAACAGCCCTTAGTAACCACGGAATGTCCGTTGTCACGTAGGAAGGAGAAAAGATGCAAAGTAATACGGACACTCGCGCACAGCGATAAAGTTTTATTTAGCTTGCGTGCGCGATTTATCTGATTAGTAATTATGTAGGCTTATTATGACGTCGTCGGCAAGAAGTCAACATCAAAAGAGTGCAACTTCTGTACGTAGTATTATTATTTATTCTGTGCTAGTGTGTAATATATTGGAATCATGATTTTTAAATACACATTGATATACAATTTTCTAACATCGAAATGATACTCGATAACTCAATGCAGCAGTTTTTGGTCCAATAGAATGTGCTCTCTATAAAACGATCCGCTTTTTTCTGATATTTGGCTAGTATGAGACCAACAAAGAACTATTTATTTGGTGGTTTTTGGTCGTATTGTAACAATCTGAGACGACACAATACCTATATGACAATTTTAGTCATAACTAATAATCACAGCGGTGGGTACCCCGCTAGAAATTGGGAGCGAAATAGTAAGTTCCCTTATAGTGTGCGGCGAAACGCGAGTGATGATATTACCACGCTTAATCCAGCCGGCCGAATTTTGACGAGAACATCGCGCGGGAATGAGCACTTTAACCTTTATATCTCAGCCATTGTTTAAGATAGGAAAAAAATAAAAACACAATTTTTTAGGAATTTTCTCTAGTTTTGTAACACACACAAATCTAACAAACAAACAAAAATCGTTTGCCTTGTCAATTATTAATAAATTATATTAAAACATGCAGATACTAATTTCCTTAATAATAAGGATTTAATTTCCTTAATATATTGTGTACTAAGTGAGCCTTTTGCATTAATGTCAAACTGACTGTAGCTGCACGAAGCCGCACTTACAGCAAATTTTACCGCAGTCATTAAGTTTGAATTGAGTAATACAGCAACAGTCGGATTTACGGCTGAATTGTTTTCTTAATAGTACATATTATATGTTTTCAGGCCAAAATAACACAATAAATACTTACCGAGACACAAATGCAACACATGCTCATCACACGACTGCATCAATCTACGATAGAAACTGTCCAACAACGGAACCAGTTTTCGAAGAAATATCCAAATCAGAAGCAAGAGTAAACAATCAAGTATTGGACACATTTATTGAAGATGATATTGACGTGGATCAGCTCGCTGCTATAGAAGCACAGTTCACTGAGAATCCAGGCAAGAGACCTCTCATTGATAACAATTCAAAGCCAGAGAAAAAAGCTAAAATAAACCCGAATACAGTTGTAAATAACATTGATGAATATCCAGAAGATGAGGACTTGATCATTGAAGATGAAGATTATATTAAAGAGATGGAAGCTAGGTTTGATGCGCAGGACAGTGGAGTCAGTGACTGTATTAATAAAGCTCCAATCCCATTGCCGCAAGAACCATTTGTATATATAAAACAAATTAATGAACTCAGTGTAAATGAAAAGTCTGGTAAAGTTTTCAGAGTTAAAGGACAAATAATGAAGCTTTTGTCCAAGTTGACAGTAGGAAAAGATGGTTGGAGCTTAAAATGTGCTATTGTTGATGGCACTGGCAGTATGGATGTTGACTTTACGAGTGATGTGCTCTCTAAACTAGTTGGGTTCACTCCCTTGGAAATGAACCAAATAAAGAAGCAAATGGCGACGAAACCCGAGTTAAAGGAAAAGACGGTTTCGGTATGTTCACCTTAATTAAATTATTTAAATAATCCATATCAAGTGAACTTCATTTTACAGTCAAAGCAGTGTTGTTCTTACTTAGTAATTAAGAGTTAGTTTAACTTGTGTTTCTTAGTTATAAGTATTTATGTAAGTAACTATTTTTTGTTTTACTTTTAGGCTCTACAAAAAGCAAAGGAGCGTCTTCAGATTTTGTACTGCATAATTGAATTGACTATGGCAGATGGTCCAAAGATAACACAGCTTATACCCTTCGATGGAACACACGTTGATCTGCTAAAGAAAAGACAGCTGTCTAGAGAATTTTGAAAGTCTTATATTGCGCCTATTTGATTGATTTGAATTTGATTTGTACCCACATAATTAATTCAATGGACTTATTATAAAAACATGTAATGGTCAAATTCTGCTGTTTGGGAGAATGATTAACAAGTCTACATTCCGAAATGTACGGGGGATAGTTGTTCTATATTTAAATGTACTTCAGTCAACAAACTCATTTTACAATGTCTAAGGGAAAATGTTGAATCCGTTTTAGCTTTAGTTATATTTATAGCCATACTTGTAAATAGATTTTTATCAATGTTTTTGTCTTTTATTATATAACCTCATTTTTATTATATTTAGATACCTATGGGTCACAACATCCATTGTGTGCTCATTTGTCACCTTTATTCTATAAAAAAAATCAAGTATAGCAACCAAGATCAAAGATCCAACTGGTGGCCAGCGTTTGGGAGAGATAATGTCACATATACCTCAAAACTTGAAGACAAGTGAAGCAAACAATGTGTGTTGGCACAGTTGGTCCGTAATATCTGCCACTCCTCAGATGACATAATGGATCTGAGACGTAGTCCTCAGCCGACCATATGAGGGAGCCTAAGGTCGCTCAGCGAACTATAGAGAGGTTATTTCTGCTCAGTAATGGGTCAGTAAGCCGAAGTGGCAAAGGGCCCGCCACATAAAACTAACAACTGATGAGGAAGGAAGGTCGAGCAGCTTCGTACCCTGTAAGCGTAGTTTAGAGCTAGAGCAGCTTCCTGTGACGACTTGGTAAGAGATTTAGGAAGTCCAATGGATGTAATTTTCTTTCCTTGCGAGAGGTCAATGTTCAGCAGTGGGCTCGAGCATCAGACATAAAATAGTATCTTCAGTAATGAGAACAATTTTTTATATATATTTTTTTAAATTTATTTAATGAAAAGAAAAACACAATATAATCATTAAAACATCACAAAAACCCTTACGGGTTTGTCTGGATGTTGAGACACTTTTGAGCAATCTGTTGACATTAGTTTACACATATATTACTTTATAAGAACATCAAAAATACAATATCAGCAGTTATGGGTACATTGTTTACACAGAAGCGGACAATAAGGAACCGGTTATGGATTGCGGCTCGGCGCAGGCGGCCGGCCGGCTGTTGCTACTTGAGTTTGTTATATACAGAATGTTGCAATTATCGATATGTTATTACATTAGGTTTAATTAGACTACTTGTTATGAAAGTAAAGAATAAAAGTATTGTTTATATTTATGTTTACAATTTTTATCCGTTATTTCTAATTGGGTTTTAGTTGGTATGTCATTAATGAGAGTTGGTATTAAATACGCATTTGTTCGTTTTCCGTAATAGTTTCTGACTCTTGGTATTTCTAGTTTTGATTGAACTACTTTCCGTGTCGTTATTTTATGATTGACTTTTATTTGTAGTTCTTTGTTAGTAAATTGTTCAATTAATAGCCACATTTTTATTTTTATATGAATAGGTAAGATTTTACAATATTTAAATAAGGGCAATACATCGTCATCGGAGCAGATTGTTTTTTTAATTTTATTAGGTGTTATAATTTTTAAAAACCGAAGTTGAAGGCTGTATATTTTGTCCAAATAAGTTTTAAATGTCCTACCATAGCTAATGATCCCATATAAAATTATTGACTCTGCGAGTGCATTATATAAATTTAGTAATATTTTAAATGGTACTTTGTATTTCAAGATAGCAAATTTAGCTAACATTGCTCTCAGTCTGTCACAAATTGTGTCAATATGATAACCCCAGTTAAGCCTGTCATCGACTACTAGTCCTAAGTATTTATGACGAGGAACCTGCTCTAACAACTCACATTTGCAACCGGTCCTATTTGTTTGCAAAGCATGCAAGCACTGGTGACTATGCGCGATTACTTCGATTTTCTTATCAAAATTGAGTAGGTAGTTAGAGCGGACATGAATAATTTTAGTTTTACTAGCATTGAGTACTAGACCAACATCATGAGACCATTTACATAAGTTAGTGAAATCAATTTGTAAACAGTGTTCAGCCTTAGCTAAATCTTTATCAGCTGCTACAAGACATGTATCGTCAGCATATTGGTATATGGAACAGTGTTTTATTATGTTTGCCATATCATTGACGTACGCTAAATAATGCAAGGGTCCGAGAACAGAGCCTTGTGCTGTTCCAGTAGTTACCAGTATTTCGTCACTGAAGTCATTGCCAATCTTAACCCGGTATTTTCTACCGTTGAGATAATCTTGGCACCATTGTAATAATGGCCCGCGGACACCTGTATTGTCAAGTTTTTTTATAAGAATATCATGCCTAAGAGTATCAAATGCTTTACTAAAGTCGATGAATAGTAATATAACATGTTTTTTATCATTAAGATGTTGATTTATTATAAATTGCTCGAAGAGGGTAGGGTCAAGAGTACTCGGATACCTAGACGTGCATGTATGAAGAAGATAATGAATCTGAAAGAAGCGAAAGAGATATGTAAGGATCGTGACACTTGGCGATCTGTTCTCTCTGGCTACCCCGTCAGGGATTGTGCGTGAAGATAAGTAAGTAAGTAAGTATTTATTTCGTCCGTGAATTTAGACAGCAAAATAGTAGTTGATTTATTAGATTGAAAGCCATGTTGAGTATTTGACAATATATCGTGTTTAGTATCAAAACTACCTTATCTATAACTGGCAGTATTGTTATTGGCCTATAGCTATCATAGTCACTATGCGCTCCCTTTTTGTAAATTGGTCTTACGATACCGGTTTTCAATTCGGGTGGATATTTTCCTACTGATATGCTAGTGTTTATCAACTTATATATATGTGTGTGTGTGTGGAAAATTAATAAGCATTAAAACTCTCCCACTGATTCAAGGAGTATACGAGTAAAATACTGCGCAGGTTAGTTGCAAACGAGCAGTCCACCTGATGGTAAGTGGTTGCTGAGACCCAAAAACATCTCTCTATTCTCAATAAAAAATCAAAATGCAGATGCGTTGTCATCCGTGAAGACTAAGATGGAATACCTGTTTTCCAGTAAAAAGCTTTTCCGGTTCTCTACACTCACCATACGAAACAGCAATATTAAGCTGCTATTTTACCCTGGTATTCTGTCCTTCCTCGGTCTCATGCACGGCTCTACCACGTAAAATAACTTTTGAGCATCCGTAATTCTTTTATTACAAGCAAAGAAGGCGATGTTGCAGCGAAACTACCCTATGTCGTACAGTGATAGGCGGTGTTGCTGTTGGTTTCGTCGTCGACTAGACTGAATTGTGTAGGTCGATCATTGAGTTATAATTTACTACGTACAGAAGCTATTCCAAACAAAAAATGTGCGCTACTCTATGTGTTCGTGCATGCACGGTAAATAGTAGAGTCGCGCATGCGCGGTTTTTGTCATCGTAGATTATACGAAGGTAGAATGATCAGTATGAAATAAGTAATTGTTTATTTAGATTGTATTGTAAATTATATCGAGTACAATTTTTTTTTTGTTATTTATTTTGCTTTTTTGTGTTAATTTAATATAATATAACATAATATTATGACAGAAATACATTTTAATTATATTTTATTTAATACTTTAAAAGGTGAATATGTAAAATATAAAAATATGAATTTATTTTCAAAGATCACTTACTTTTCTAGAATTCTCTAACGTATTTATACGCAGCTGGTGAATAATAGTGTAAAATCAATGCGAATTTACGTTAAAGTGCATGCAGTGTATTAATAAATAATGCGTGCTCTGTTTATTTCTTTTTCATTGAAAATTCATGTAACTCCACAACTTCTGCTTTAGCCTTTAAATCAATCTCATCGTTTAGTTTGAGACCGAATTTATGTTTAAAATTTTGTCCAATTGATTTGTAAGAAGCGCAGTTTTTCTTTAGATAAATATTTTGGCTTTGTATTTTCTTAAATTTCTCAGTAAGCTTCTTTCTAGCTGCAGATTCCTTGCTATTAAATACAAACACAATATTACAACGTGCTCATATTTTATTATTTTTATAATGACCTAGAATTATTGATTCCGTTACTAAGGTAGAACTATATTTAAGAACTTAGACTTCGTATACATCACTCAAATTAGACTTAGGAGACATCACTTGCGTAATTTATTTGTAAGTACAATTTTACTCGGGCTATCAAAAATTGAATTTGAACTGCTTATTGATTCAGACAATGGTTCTGATACTTCCTGTTCACCACATTTAGTTGGCTGAAAAAAAATACTAATTATTTGGGAAGCCTGTAAAACTTCTAGCGTTACAGTATTAAAAAACCGCCATATTATACTAGTGTGACTCGCGCGCCGAGGGTTCCACCTCTCTTAAGTCCCGTAAACGTAAATATACTGAACATTACAAAAAATTCGTTCGTCGTCTAATCAGAAAATAAAACTAAAATCTCAGCAATGTTATATAATAATATAATTACGTTATCGCATGGTACTGCTGATTTCTGAATTACATTTAAATGATTTATTTGAATTTTTAAAAGGTATCTATGTAAAATATAAAAAAACAAAACATACTTAATGTATTTGTAACAAAACTTATTGATATAACATATAATTTACAAATATATTTATTTACATTAGAATAAGAGTCGTTCATAAATGGTGGGCACGCGAGAGTTAAAAAATTGATGAATTTAGTCCATTTATCCCTGTTTTCATGGCTTGGACGTGGAAACCTAAAAATAAAATAAAAGAATAATCGGCAAATTTAAATATCAGAAATTTTGCCTAATTATGAATACTTCCATTTGTTTCTACAAAAAAACAATATATTATATTATGCGTAATTATTCTCAGACTTAAGTACCTACAGAAATGTCGCATCTGAACAAATTAATTTCATAATCTATATTTCATGACCCGAGATGGCGTCTTTTGAATAATTTGTTTGATTAATTATTAATCTATAATACTTTTTATTAAGTATTTTACTCACCGATGAAAAGTTGTTCCTTGGTATTTGCTAACATTTCTTGAATTATTTGTGCAATTTCTAAAACACACCATTGCGTATTTTATCAAGAATTTTTTTATATAATCAGCATGTGTCAACTCATTAGCGCCTAGCGAGCGACTGAGTAAAGTGCGGCAATATCACCGCAGTTGAATGGAACAGCATAACATAATGCAGTGTCGCCTCTAGTACGTAGTAGATAATAGCTCAATGAGGTCGACTCGAGTTTTTGGGGCGGTTCTTATTTCATTAACAAGCCTAAATAGGATGTGTTACTAAATAAAAATAATGAGTGCGTTTTAACAACTATATTTTATTTAATACACCTGTTCATAACTCATAGTATGTGGTTCAATATACAAAAATTATCAAATACATAATATTAACATAACTCATGCTAACTAACGGTACGATACAACCAGAAAGACAAACGCAACACTATTTAAAAAGAACCTCTCCTGAAGCTTAGGGTGGATAAAGGCAACAATTAAAAATAACACCAATTATGTATAACAGAAAGAAAATTACTATTTTATTATTGCATAGGGTAAATTACTTCACCAAACTGAAATGTTCGTCATTAAAACTACATGAGATACGAAACAGCCAAATAAAAATTGTCATAACCAATTACAGTGCTTTGACAAATCAGTTTTACTTTTTATGCTTCTGCTAGAGAATTATGTAAGAAATCACTCAAAGTACATACAACAGGTTCCTTTTTTTCTTACTAATATTTTTATACCACCCTAAGCCTCACTTGTTCCCAACAAAATACAAATGTGAATAAAATTGAGCACTCAATATATAAAAACGATATGGTTAAAATGAATCTGTAACACTATATGCATAAAAAATACATTAATAGTTCAAATACATAATGTTGCCGGATGTTAAATTTAAATAAAATCGATAAAAGCTACTATTATGTAATTTAGTTTGCTTTGGCTACATAAGGATGATAATAAGCTTTCCTTCTTACTGATAGCAAATAGACATACTAATCTTTAGACGTGTATATGAGGAACTTTTAAAGAAAATTCAAGCATAATAGTCAAAACAAAAGAACAATTAAGTGCTTCTATGCAATATTAAAAGCGACGCCACAAAATACAAAATAAGCAAAATTTTTCTACTAGTGAATTTCCTAAAAATTGCTAGTTCCGTTTGAACTTTGTTTAGTTAATTTTGAAAATGTGGACATTAAAAAATAAATACATCGACACCTCAATGGAAGACTATGCCATTGAAACAAACCAAAAGACAAAGAGTCGCCAATAAATATAGGTTAAAATTGAAACTAATGTGTACCTTGAATGATACATTTATTCTTAATGAAAAAGCCCTCTTATAGGCAATAAATAATAATAATAATTAGATGAACATAATGCAGCCATATAAAGCAAACGAATTAATGAGAATTTACTGATTGTCAATGGTCCTTTAAGCCAGATGTATAAATATATTACGGATACCAGCAGTCATCCTATAATTATTATCAAGGTTTACAACTGCACTTAAGGAAATCTTTTTGAACGATATGAAACACACCCATAAACATCAGATATACAGAAAGTCTGTCTGCATATCACCATATATTTATGAAAAGAAGGCAAAACACGATTCTTATCAAACATTACGTCGATACATTGTGTTAACAATATGTCATTATAGGGCATCGATCACTAATAAAAAAAACTAGATACACAATCAGTGACAAAAATGTCCTTACCGAATGAGCGCCCGCTCGAACATTTGGACGCGCTTTTAATTTGTACGTAGCTTTGTGAATACAACTTTAGACAATGCATTTAAGGTTGAATTTACATTAATGTATATTTATTTCAACTAAAATTACGTCAAAACAATTGGCGACAGTTTGAAATTTTGCACGGGATGGGGTATCTAGTTTTTATTAGTGATCGACGTTATAGGGTTTTAAAACGACGGTTGTTTGTGAAATATTTTTAAGAATTCTTAAGTTTAGCTAGTTTACTGGCTATACATGAATCCGCCATTGGACATAGGATTCTCCGAATTTATGAGGAATGAGTTACAATTTAAACATGGTAAGGAAAAATTTAAACCACTATTTCACAATCAACTCCCGTGAACAGATTTCTGACTATTAATATGAGTTAAAACATAATTATTTACGAAAACAATTGCGGTATATACCACCGCATACTTCGAATGAAAATGAAAAGCCGATAATGTTAAAACTCAAAGCTATATACAGCGCGATCAGAAGATATACGACGACGTTATGCAAAACCTACTTTTATCCGACTATAAAGCGTCAGTCTTCCGCTTAAATGCCATCCATTCATAGTGAACAAAACTGTTAGGCCAGTGTCATCCCGGGTCAACAGGTGGGTGATGTGAGTACTTATAAAATCCTTTCGTAGAAAAGAAGGTATGCTTGCGCTCTCAACACCTTGTCCTCCGTCACTTCAGAGACCATACTGTCAGAGACAAAGTACCATTTGCCTGCAGGTGGCTCCGCCACTGGAGTGGGGCCTTCGCCAGATTCGTATCCAGATAGGTCCGATTCGGAGTCGCCATCTCCATCTCCGCCACTGGAAACCGGTATATTAGCACTCTTGGGAAGGAACCACCACCTCGGATCTCCCCGTTTAATAGGCTGTCTTACTTTCACATAAGCGACATAATGACCACCGTGCATTCCACCAGAGTGCTCAACAACTCCATACAGTGAGTACAGTAGCTCGTTCTGGCCACGAGCCACATTAGGCAGCTTCTTTAACTTATCCATGGCACAGAATGGCGCCAAATCCAAAATAGTCGGAAAATCGACATGTTTCGACATCTTTCTGAACATACAACGGGGGCCGATCTGAAACCGCTTCAAGTGGAGAATTAGAATCGCCGGCGGACTGGATACAAGGAAACGTTTAGTGGCATTTGTATATACCGTTTTACCGTCTTTACCATTGATTCTTTCAGTGCAAGTTTCACAACCGACTTTATTGTTGCCAGTAAGAAGCTCTAGAGCCGTGAACTGACTGAGGCATGATTGGATGCTGCACTCATCCTCATCGCAGACATATCGAGGGGATAGGGGACTTTGGCGGTTGAATGACAAGAAATCCCTTTGATTTTTCTCTGCTTCAATATTATTTATTTTTGGCCTCGGTACTGTTGGCGGAGGGTCAATAATGGGGCCCTCTACAGTAACGGGAGATGGGAACGTAGAACGTTTCGGCTTAGTATCTTCCATATCAAGTTTTAATTTATCCAATATGTTAGTAACATCTTGGTGGTTATTTAGCTCATTGAATGCTGCTGGTTCTTGAGTTTTGCTTTCAGGCAGTGACTCGTAACTGCTTTCGCCGCTGTGCTCCATTATATTCCTAGAACCTTTGACACTAATACCACGTGATACAACTTCATTGGAATACTCTGGGGCAAAAGCTATCCGTGACACGGGTCTTTCGTATTCACTTTTCACCGGCGATAGTTTATTATGCTGTGGACTTGATAGATCCAAATTTATCTCACTCGAAAGCGAGCTATGACTACCCAACTCTTTTCCATTGGTAGGAGAATCGACATTGTCGACTGCTTCGGTGGAGTTATGTTTCGTTGCCTCTGGACTAGCGACACCTGAGTCCGGATTGGAGAAGTTCTCTAGTGATGCCAGTGATTTGTATTCTAAAGGAATAACGGTAGTTGATGTTGAAGAATTGACAAACTCTTTGTCTTTATCTGTTGTCTCCGGCGTGTTGTCAGTTTTTTCTTTATCCAGGTCTACTGGGCTAGTGTGAATAGAATCGGAACTGATAACTTTCTCTGAGTTATATCCCGACTCCATGTGGTAGGCGGCAAAGTTGGCAGCTGTGTGAGCGATCGCCTGAGTGCCTACAGAGGCAGTATGAGTGTCGGCATGTCTGGGCATGTCCTCTAAGTTGTCTTCTACATCTGCATCTGATTGCTCAGATGATGATTTTCCATCTTCTTTAGCACCATTAGTTTCACCAGGGTTCTTCTCTTTGCTTGTAGCATTACCTGAAAATAATGATTTTTCTTCAGTTATATAATTGCCAATATATGCATTAAATTCTGAATACAAAGCAGTACATTTTATATACTTCTGTAGAGGTCACAGTTTTGGTAATTTTTTCCTAACTACACAAATCCATGCACAGATAAAATAAACAATATACGCATACATAAATATTCAATGCGAGTCATGCTATTGTTAGTACCACCTTTATTCTTTCGCGCGGCTTTCCTTGCAGCCATCCTCTCCTTTTTGAGTTGATGTTTTGAAGGTTTATTTTCCTCTTGCATATTGTACATATTCTCCTCTGAAAATATGTCGTTTTTATTCATCAATTTGTGTTCTGCATGAATTTAACTACACCATTTAAAATATCTGATTTTGTTTGTGATGAGAAACTGAAAATTGTCTGTACTATATAACAGTAATAATACTTTGAAATCTAAATCTTTTATCCTTAGTAGTGCATATATGGTTTTAAGATGTTTTTCAATACAACTTGACATTGCTAAATAAAAAACTGCTCATTATTGCCACATACAATAGAAGTGGTATTTGTTGCAGGATTTTCTATGAATTATTTAAATTTCTGTTGTTTTTGTGGACTTGGTAAAGTATCAATTTGAAAATTTTACGAAACTAACTACTTAGTGTACCCGGTCAGGAGCCTTTGTCATTCGAGACCATGAGTGTTGCACAAAATTAGAAGTACAGGGAATATAAAATAGTTAAAACAAACGTAGTAAAACGAGTGAAATACAATTACATTCCATGTCTTTGTCTTATTCATGTAAGTAATAACAATCATATTTTAAAAATTGTTCACTTTTGATCTTAAAACCGTTGTAAATAAATGTTAGTAACAAATAATAATAGACATTTTTGAGACCATCTACTATACATAGACATTCGACAACATATAGAAACATGTTCAAACAAGTTGAGTATGATTTCTACACTGTGTTAATTTCATCATCATTCAATAATAAATAAATGTATTTCTAGAACAACATCCAAATATAACTCATATCTCTTAAAAATACAAAGAAATCATAATTTCATATTAAATAAAAAACTTCTGATGCATTGACAATGAGCACAAATAAAAAAAGAAAATGTACAAGGGAAACATTCATTCACTGGGTGGGTACACAAACATACTCACACAAAGACAAAACTAGCAATAACAATTATTAAAAGACATACCATTTGGAGTTTTCCTACGCACGACGGCCGGGGGCTGCGGCCGGCTGGCTGCCACTGGAAGTGAGAGATCGAGGAAATATTCCACTCGGTCTGAATGATGGAAGCACTCTTGACATTCCAGGGTGGAGACCAGAAAACCTCGGAAAACCTGACCAATAGAACAAAAATTCCTGCATTAATCATAGCCTATCAAGTCTATTGCTATACTTAGGCCTCATATTATGTAAAAGGTACCAACTGTGCAAATTTTAAAAAGGATTTGGGTTTGGCATTTTACAGATAATGTTCTATCATTTGTTAGTAGGTTGTGCACCTCATGGAGGTGGGATTGGCATTTGGAGAATTTGTTAGGGGGATAACTTTCACCTTTAGATATGTGATAGAATGCCTAGAATATTTTGGCTGCAGCATGATTTGCTTGTATCATTCAGAAAAGAACTCTAGCATAGAATACCAGTGTGAGGCTTAGCGCTGCTATTTTGTATGGTGAGTGACGAAAATCGGAGACCAAATTTATATATGATGAGCATCTGAATTTTGATTTTTATTTAAATGCAGATGTAGGAGTCATTAGGCCACAGCATCCTCTTACCAGGTGGGTTATGTGCTTGTTTGTCACTCATAATTTTATATAAATAATTCAAATATTTTAGTTTGTACAAATATGCTACAAATTAGTTAATGTGGTAGAGCCACGCTGCAGCTGTATTATGGTTGCAGCAAAAATGGCTTGGCTCAAAGGACCACGCTTTCACAAAATACCAGCTCAATGCTGCTGTGTTTCATATGGTGAGTGTAGAGAACCGGAGACCCTTTTGACTGGAAACAAGGCCTTCCATCTTAGTCCTCAAAGGTGGCAACAACATCTGCATTTTGATTCTTAATCGAGGATACATGTAAATGTCTATGGGCCACAGCATCCACTTACCACCAGGTGGACTGTGTTTGTTTGTCACCCGTATTCCATAAAAAATTTATTTGTTTCAATGTTTACGAAAAAAAAAATTTTAGCGCATGCAATTTAATTTTAAAAAAAGCAAATAAAAACAAAATTATTATTTTATTTGCTTTTTTATGTATGTATATTTATATATATATATATATATTTTCATGTATATATATGTACAAACATTATTCATATATATGTACAAACATCCTCTTTTATATATATATATACAGTAGAATCTGTTTATTATGACTCCGCTTATATTGACCAACCGCTTATTATGACGTAATTACCAGCAAAGATTGGTTTTCATACAAAATTCTTTATAATAAAGTCGGGTATAATGACATGTCACTTACTGTGACCCATTTTTACTAAATTGTGTCAGGTTATAGTGACTGGCGTAAATCCCAACATCTTGCATGGCTTTTTTTTGTTTTGAGTCTCAGTGGGTAATTGATTGTTGAAGGTCACGGGATTGTTTGTTAGTGATTTGTAAAAAATATGAAATCTCAATGTCAGTGCACGTGCAGTTTAGAAAATGGAGAATCCAACTCATCTCTCGCAAGGGAATTTAGGATTAGTCACTCGACAATCTCAATGATTTTTAAAAACAAGAATTTATTATTAAGAATTTAAGTTACTTTAATTAAGGATTTTTCTCTATTAAAATAAATACATACTAACAAAAACTGGAGATTTTTTGGTTTATTTTCTACAAAATGCTTTATATGACGTCCGCTTAGTGTTTTTTATTTCCCTTCAATGTCATTATAAACGGATTCCACTATATATAGATCTAAGAGTTCTAACACACCTGTTCAGGTCTAAGCATAGTATCTGATGCTTGCTGGCCATAGAACTTGACTTTCTGCTTGACTTCTCCATCAACCTTGGCTGGATCAACCTTGGAGCTCATACCAAGGCTACTGAGTATAACAGACTGGTAGCGTCGAAGGTCTTCAGATCTGTAAAGATGCATATTATCTCGTCTGATTAATCCACTGGTTGATCTAGGCTACTTTCGTGATACTGTACGCTGGTTATAATTATCCAAAAAAATCTCCAGTATATTTCTGTCTAAAGTTGATGGGGCAAAAAGCCAATCATATATATAGCTTGTAGAAACAACTGATGGGAAAAAAGTTTGTGAAGCAGCGACTATATCCTTAGCCACTACTCTATCACTGGCTCTATGAAATTATGAACAGAATAATCATATGGATTTTAGTGAGAATAATATCATATAAAGCAGGAATAATTTCAAAATACATTTTAAAAATCTCACCTTACAGCTTCTAGTAAATGCCTCAGCAATTCATGGGCATCATGCTGATCTCCACCACCAAACTGTGGCAGTTTATTCACTAAAGCTGACAACAGCTTACGAGGGGTATAGACACCACCTTCTCCTGGCAAAAATAATTAAAAACACATTGATTATTCAATTTTTTCTAAATTGAGAAACATAAATCATAGTTAAGGCTTTAAAAAAAAACAAATAATACCCAAAATGGTAATTACAATGTAATATCAAATCAGATAAGTTGCATGTTAAGTTTACAGTCGATATACCAGCACAGATTGTGACAATAGATTATTTATTGCATCATAATTACTAGGTCTCAGCCGAGTCCCCATATAAACACACAAATACAAATTATTTTCACTTGCAAGTTAGTCAGTCCATTTTAACAAAAACTTATATAAAATACGTAAACTTTATTAACTAGTATGCATATTGCATATAATAAGAATAGGATCAGATATCTTTGTCAGATTTGTTTGATGTTATCACCACACTAGGGTTTTCTCCTGTATCGTGGAGGCAGTTTATAAACATAAATTGCCAAAGGACAAACAATTATTTGTAGGCCATACAAATACTTGTTCCGTGGGGGATTCGAACCTGTGGACCCCAGCACAACAACTTATTGCTAAGCCACGGAGCTGTCGAAGATGGTCCCTTCAATGTCCATTTAACCAATTTCAACTGTAATTGATTTTTGTTTAAAGTTAATAATATTACTAAATAATTACTTGAAAACATTGTTAAGTTACTTTTATCTCTATTATTTCTTTTGTCCTTGGTGTATGGACAAGCTTAAACTACTGTAATTATTTTTTTATAAATCTATGCAAAATTATAAACTGTAAATGAAAGTTCTATTTAATTATTATGATTATGTTTAAGATCCAAAGATATCAAACACCAAAAAAATCTCATAATCAATGATTAGAAATAATAATACCAAATTTATATTATATATAATAATAATAATATGTATACTAAATCCAACACATCAAAAATACTAATATTTCATTGTAAAACAGCAAGATAGCTCCAGACTGCTTTTGACTGTGGGAAAATGGGTCAAATAACTCATTATGTCTAAAAATAGAATTGCTAAACAATTTAAAAAAAATATCAGTGTCACATTATTAAGCATACAATTGTTTCCGTAATTATGGAGTAAAGTAAGTATATTTTTGCTAGGTAAAATGCAAACAAACAATAGAGTAATCATAATATTGAAAGAAGTTAAATAATATAAATAAAATGTAACTAAAAGCAAAATGTCTATTAATACTGGAACAAAATCCTATTACAGACAATGCCACTGTGTAATCACTATGTAATGGCTTTGTAAGAGAATCTATTATCATGTTATATCATGCTTAAGTGTTGTAAGGGGCAACAGAGTGAAACTCTTTCAGCGGTGGATTTTGATTGATAGGCTAGGAACAAATTATGTAATTTAATTATTATCATGTTATTTTCATAATACACAACTTCTTTATTATATGCAGTGCATTTATTATGGACAAGTGATTAATAGTATTATTCATAATGCACAATATGAGAAGGCAATGTGATAAAAATTATTGAAATAATTATATTCACCAGACCTTATGAAAGTATGTAACTTATTAGGCAGAGTAATAAAAAGATAGTTTAGGTTAGGCTAGGCTAGGTGTGGGGGCTTTAGACGGTGCAACTCCGACATAGCCCATCCTTGCCCCCGCAAGTTAAGTATGCATAGGCATTTCCCTATATTTAACTCAATAGTAATAAAGTTTTTCATCCAAGTGATTTTTCCTTTGTTATGCAAAGGAAGGAATATATCATTGCTGCTATTTGATACTGCAAAGTGGACTTCCTTTACACTCTTGTTAATTTTAATGTTTAAAAAGTGATTAACATGCTTAGGTTAGGTTAGGTTATATCCAATTGCCCAACAGTTAAGTAGAAATATTCATAATGACCAGACAATGTGATAAATAATGAAGTTTAAAAGAGTATTAATTGTATGCCATTATTTGACCTACCATTATTCATATTGCCCAGGCATTACAAATAGGGCCCTAATTAATCACTTGGTCCATAAAACATATAACATTAAAATCACAAGACATGAGAAATTTACAATTTACATACCTGCTTGTAATTCTGCAAGTGTTTCAGACAATGTACGAGTCAAGGCACCCCATTCACCTAATTGTCCAGTTATTGCTGGAAGTTCCACTTCCTTTCCATCATCTCCATCACCTTTAAGCTTCAGTTTACCTCCAGGTAAAGTAAACCTCTCTCCTGGAGTTGCCATTTCTTGCAGAACATCTTGTAAATATGGTGTTTGAACTAAACACTGCATTACTGAATTAAAAAAGCATGTATTTCCTAAATTTGTGAGTCCCCTCACTCGGGGTAAATTTAACGCCATGGCTTTCTCTTTGCCTTTTGTTATTTGATCTGTCTTTATTATTGTTTCAACTGGTGATAGTATATCTACATTTTTAGGTTGAGTGTCAAAAAGAGGCTCAAAAGAAGGCAGTGATTTATTACTTGATGCTTGCTTCTTAACATATTCTATGCATTCATGTAGCTTTTTAGAGCTCGATGCAGTTACTTCATTGTTACAACTGTAGCAATAGACTTCCCATGTTGTAGTGTTGGCTGTTAGCGAGTGGCAGTCAGAGTGTGGTGTGTTGAAATGGTTTAGAGCGTGTTTATTACGTGTCCGCCCGCAGAGTTGCGTGCCACACCGTAAACACATCCAAAGACTAAGATCTTCCTCATAATTTGGGTCGGGCTCTTCGATTTTATTACTTTTTTTACACTCCGAGCATTCTCTTTCAAAGCCTCCTGATTTTAAGGCTTTTTTAAGACGCGTTAGATCTACTGCTTTGGCTACATGAGGACATGCAGACTTCACACTTTCGTCACAAGATTCGGTGGATTCATCACCATTTTCACCGGGATCACTTTGTCTCTTTTTCTTTACCATTGTTAATTCAGGTCACTATCTGCCTGCAACGTAATGAGATCCTCGTAATAATAACCACACGAACACAAAAAGAAGAAATGTCAAATCTGTGTCGATTGCCTTTGCACGCGTGACGACGCACATTTACCAAGAAACTATCAAAGGAAAAGTATATAACATTATAATAAACTCATAAATGTATTAAAACAAACTTACGGTTACATATACTGCCAAAAACTTAATGTAAGGTCGACGTAAATGCACGAATTTCTAAAATTTTTGTCACAAAGGTATACTATAGCAGTCAGACATCTTGACAATGATGTTGGTAACAAGGTACTCTGTGGTTGGTAACATTAAAAAATAAAAATTGAAATAACTAAGTTCGGTTCGGTTCACACAATTATCATATCGATTTACGGTGAGCAAAAGACAAGTATCCAAGGCATTATTACCAAGTGGTACTCTGGCGATGAGTAGCGGAACTAAAATTCTGAAACGTCAACATGACCGTGATGGAATTTGTTATGAAGTTGTAATTTTCTATTGATTTTTATTCCTATATTACTTCATATTTACAAATAGTTTCATCATAAAGCATACAAGTGTACCTAGCAAGTGTAACTCAAATATGTAAAGTTTTTAAACACCAGTCTTAAAACTAGCTTTTTAGACGTTGTTGTTATTGTTTGTTACTTAGTCGTTAGCAAATTCATCAGAATGTCGCTGCCAGGGAACGGAATATTTGTGGTTCAGGGTGAGATGGCAATGCTTGTCACTGCCATGCGGCGCAGTACACGATGGGGTTCTCATTCCTTCCCCAACGAAGAGTATGATGTCCTCATGAGAACCTTCCAGGATCTAAAAACTATACTAAACCAAGTTGAAGATTTACGACTACTCGATCCATCAACGTACCTAAGTCCCTTTCTGGAAGTTATCAGGAGTAAGGAGACCACAGGCCCAGTCACTAGTCTAGCTCTTTCAGCCATACATAAATTTTTATCATATGGACTCATTGGTAAGACGCGTGTTATTTTTTAGGTACTTATTTAGTTTCTAGTTATAATAATAAAGCTCAAGGTAGCTCAGCGAGCTATGGAGAGGGCTATGCTCGGAGTTTCTCTGCGTGATAAACTTAGGAATGAGGATATCCGCAGTAGAACCAGAGTAACCGACATAGCCCAACGGATTAGTAAGCTGAAGTGGCAGTGGGCCGGCCATATAGCTCGAAGAACCGACAACCGATGGGGAAGAAAGGTTCTCGAGTGGCAGCCTCGTACCGGTAGGCGAAGTGTAGGGCGTCCCCCCACGAGATGGACTGACGACCTGGTAAGACATCCAGGAAGTCGATGGATGCAGGTGGCTCAGGACCGTGCTTTGTGGCATCCTTTGGGGGAGGCCTATGTTCAGCAGTGGACTTGTGAAGGGCTGTAATGATGATGATGATATAATAATTTTGTATAAAATTAAAAATACCTTATATATAAAAGTATTTTGATGTGAAATCTCCTGTGCAGAAACCCCTTACTTTAGTGAATAATTATTTATAATCACATGCTGATAATATCCTGCTTGGTGAAATGGCGAGGAAAAGAAAGGGGTAGTTAGTGGAGATTAGCCCCTTGTACTGGGAATAAATGTCCACCCTTCACCCTTGGGCTTCCCTATCTACAACTCAACCTACTGTTGCTGATTTTAGTTATTATTCTGACTTCACAACACCTAGTTTCAGCTGAAAGCTACTAGATGTACATACTCGAACTATGAATAAATTGAATACCCTGAAATTTAAATAACTATAGTCTGCTGCATCTAGTTGTAACTTGAACTACTAAAACATAATAGATCGATACATAAAATATACATTTTGTAAAGATTACAATGATATATTGGGAAGCAAAAGAGAAATATCAATTATATATAATATTACAATATTATCAATATTTGGTATTAAACTATACTGATAAAAGCACAATATGATGATGATTAGAGTGGTCTAAAAAACTAATTATTACACTTTATTACATGTTTTGCTTATTTTTATTCCTTACAACATATTTATTTTAGTAAACCTTTTTAGACATAGAATTTTGATTGATTAGTCTACCTATCTACTACACAGTTTAAGGAATAATGATGATTGACTTGCTTTTATGTTATAAAAATCAATATTAAGCATTTGTTGCATTGATCAGACAAAATACAGTTGATCACATTTTTTAGTTGTATATAAATTACTCTGTGATTGAATCATTTCAGTTGTATTTGTAACAAAGTAACCAGTAACATAATTATAGACTGTAAATCAAAAATTTAATAAAGCATACAGATTACTAATAAAAAAAAACCAAATTAAAAACTGCTTTTCTGCATATTTTGAGACTAGACTAACAAGAATAAAACCTATTTCTCATAAAAACATGAACCTTCAAATTAATTGTAGGTATTTTTACTGTGGAGCCAAATTGTACTCTAAAAAATTAGTAATCATTTAACTTCTATTAATGACCAAAATGATTTAAGTTCCTACGTTAATAATGATTAGATTTTATTCTCATTGATTATAGATAAATTAAATATTTTCATAAATCTTTTAATATATTTTTTTTGCACTCTTGTAATGACTTTTTTAAGAAGTACTTTCTTTATATATGATAGGGGTGACAAACGAGCACACAATCCAAATGATGCTAAGTGTTTGCTGTGGCCCATAGACATCTACATTTATCCACGTTTGTGAATCAAAATGCAGATGCTTTGTCACCCTTGATGACTAAGATGGAATGCTTCGTTTCCAGTAAAAGGGGTATCCGGTTCTCTACACTCACTATACGAAACACAGCAGCATTAAGCTGCTACTTTACGCTGTTACTGTGAGAGCGTGGTCCTTCCCCAGTCAAGCCAACCCAGTTGCGTTACAACTATACCAGTAACATAGCTGCATCATGGCTCTACCACTATATATACTTTAATAGTATCAAAGTTTATTAATAGAGATATATTTATCAAATTATTTATTTATTTAAAGAGTCATATTTTAAAAACAACTTTTATGTTATAATATAGGATTGTCACAATCATATAATATAGGTTTTCCTGATATTGTTGTGATTTTTAATAAGTGTTATTTATTTATAAAGTTTTTACAGAATAAGATGCTTTTTATGCTCCCATACAGTCCACCTGGTGGTAAATGGATGCTGTGGTCAATAGTCATCTATATCTATCTTTGATTTAGAATCAAAATGCAGATGCATTGTCACCTCTGAGAATGAGGGCTAATAATTTTCTGCTCACCAGATGTCGCTAGTTGACACTGAGGTAAAGTTTTTTGTTACACAATGTAATTTAGTTGAGAAGTTGGTATTCAATGAAAGTTTAGCAGTTTATAGAGTATTATAATACATACAATATAATACACAAAACAATGTGTCAGTGGTTTGCTCATTAATTTTTGCAGATTTTTAACTTTATAAAAAAAATCTACTTTTAGTTATGAATATCTGTGGTTTGGTTTATTTATTTTTAATCTTATTAATATAAAATATAGCTAATAGTACAGAAAGAAACAATAAACCTTACATTTTCCAATCAAATTAGCTTCCCTGCTATGAAATCTGTCAAATATTATACCTCACTTTCTAGTGGCGCCGCCCTGGTGGCAGAACTAAACGGTGGCGAACGACCTTGAGCATTTGCCGGCGACACGCCGCTCGCTCGCTTCAATATATTGCTTATTTAAGACGCCACCTATTATGTAGTATTATTTTTTCAACATCAATAAACTAATTTATGGAAATACACACAGCGTACAACGATAAATGTATTTTATTTTTTTTATTCGGTATATTAGTTGCATTATATTAGAATTATGTATTTTCATATATTATCTAATTATGAAATTTTATAATTAATTATATATTAAAAATGAAGCATTGAAAATTGTCAGTTTAAAAGATACCTATTCACTATAGGTAAATAAATAGGTAGCTCGCCTTTTGTACAAATATTTGGTGCAATAAAGAATAAATAAATAAATAGGATGTTTCGTAGATGTGTTTTTGATTATTGTTAATTTTTACGTGTCACGTATTGAAAAGTAACATATCCTACCTACAAATTTTTGAACTGAGCACCTTGTAACTTAGTATTACTTTGCTGGCAGACACTATCCTCGCCCCAATGATTGATGAGGATGAAAATCAATTTTATTTCTACATACGTAATTATATTTATTTATACATAAGGGTAACTTTAATAAAGGTAATACAAAAATCAACAAGAAGTATAAGGGTTCAATCTTTCAATTTCAATTGTAAAAAAACGTTACCCCCACACTAGGATTTTCTCCTGTGTCGTGGAGGCAGTTTACAAACATAAATTGCACAAGGACAAACATCCAGACCCGGAACAATTATTTGTAGGCCATACAAATACTTGTTCCGTGCGAGATTCGAACCCGCGGCCCCCAGCGCAACAACTGATTACTAAGCCACTACGCCACGGAGCCGTCGCCAGGTTATAGCTAAAGTGACCATACGTCCCGTTTTGAACGGGACTGTCCCTTTTCTCGGTCACCTGTCCCATTGTCCCCAAACAAAGCTCCGGGACACAAAATTGTCCCGTAACTAGTTGGATGGAAGTATTCAAAGTCAACAATCTTCAACATAATTTTTTTTAATCGAATATATTTTATGTCTACCTGGTACGAATGCTCCGGTAGAAAGAGTATTTTTTTATTTTGAATAAATTGTGGAGGTCTGAAAGAAACACTTACGGTTCCAGAGTTCTAAAGGCGATGTTGTTAACAAAGATAACAATAAAAAAACTTGAGCAGAATTTTATTTTTATTTATAATTATCACCAACTTTATTAAAGCAAATTTAATCCACTTACAAATGTAATTAATAATTAAAAAAAATATGTTGCATTTAATAATTACCGTCTATATCGAATATAATTTTATAGTGAACACTAATTCTATAAAGTTATAGTTTGTAGAGTATAAATAAACCCATGTCCTGTTTTAAGTTAAAAAATAAATGGTCAGTTTAGTCTTTTTAGTTAAATATAGTTTTAAAAATTTTTAGTTAATAGTAAAAAGTAGGTATATTAGTACCTACTTAGATACTTTTTACAGAATTATAAGTATAGAACACCTTATGTACTCAATTATTTTTTTAAAAAGAAGAAAAAACAAGCAATAAATAATATACTATATTTTAACGAAAAAACTATAACTTAGTAATACTAATTATAACTTAGAACATAAATGAAAAACTCATAACTGACTTTTTGGCCCGACCCAGGATTCGAACCCGGGACCTCATGATCAGAAGTCGCACTACTACAACCACTAGACCAACGAGGCAGTACTATACTTAATAAGATATTGTGGTTGGGTGATAATATTCAATTAGCCTTTTATAGTGTAAATTATAATATTTGTCGAAATTTTAATTATGGATTCGAACCTTACATGCTAATGGTGCTTCATTTTTTTATTTGCATTTACTTTAAAAAAAATACACGCAAAAAGCTTCATCGCGCAGTAAAAAACACAACAAACATATGTATAAGTCATACGAAAAATTATACCCAAAACAAACAAATAATACTACCTATAAATAACCTAATAAGTAATATTATTCTCGACTGATATGACGTGAGTGTATGTGCTGATCGACGCTCTAACGACACGGGCTTCACGTCGAAGAGCTCAGGGCTCACTGACTTCAGCAAGCCCGTGAGCAGTGAATATGCCCAGATTTTAAAATAAATTCTTAATAAAATCAAATTTAGGTCTTTTGAAAAAAAAATTTACTATAGAAATGTTCATTAATAAATTGCCTATCCATTGGTGTAAATCGCAAAATAAAATAATACTTACTTTACGAGGAGATGCATGTTATCAATAATAATTTCACATTTATGTGGTTTCGTTGTAAGGAGATTATATTAATATTTATTCCTTTAAAAAAAAATTGGATATAGCTTTTATGGAATCACGATTATGTAGAAATATAATGTATTTTTTATTTGTTGATATATCTTTTAAATAAAAAGTAGATAGCTCTTAAAAACAGCACAAATAACGACTAGCGCGACATTTTGCTCAACCTGCGCCTTAAGATGAAATGCTACATTTCTAGGAAAAAAAGGGCTCCAGATCTCTACACTTACCATAAAAGACATAGCAGCATTATGCTGCTATTTTACACTAGTATTCTGTGAGAGTGTGATCCTACCTCTGTTGAGCTGACCCATTTATGCTGCAACTATAATAAAGCTGCAGTGTGACTCTATCATGTATAAAGATATTATTCCTCCAACAAATAGTGATATATACCATCTCATATTATATGTGATAAAAATGTTTGTCAATCTACCTGTTAAATTAATGCTATGCACTATGAAGTTCAGACTTTACGTAATCCATAATAATATTGGAATTACTAACTACATTCTACAGTATGTGTAAATATATATTTAGAATCTTTATTAGTTTGTAATGAAGATTTTATTAGGAAAACAAATTTTTTAACAATAAGATTTAAGATGGTTTTAGAACTTTATTCTCATTAAGAATACAAACTTCGCTTTTTTTTTTATGGGATAAGGGTGACAAACGAACACACAGACCACCTGATGGTAAGTGGCTGCTGTGGCCCATAGACATCTACATCTATCTTCGATTAAGAATCAAAATGCAGATGTGTTGTCACCCGTGAGGACTAAGATGGAATGCCTCGTTTCCAGTAAAAAGGGTCTCCGGTTCTCTACACTCACCATACGAAACACAGCAGTGTTAAACTGCTATTTTACGCTGGTATTCTGTGAGAGCGTGGTCCTTCCGCGGTCGAGCCGACCCATTCTTGCTACAACTATAATATAGCTGCATCATGGCTCTACCACTTATGATGAGAACATAAATTTTTTACAAATTATAACAATATATGGGGAAATGCAGAGGTTGGGGTACATTACAATAACAGTCAAAGACAGTCACAGCATCAGACAGAGATTCAATCATAGATATAAAGTTGAACTATGCTCACCAAGTTATTTTAACTAAGAATTACTATAAATTTTAATGAGGTATGTAGTAGTAGTAGTAGTAAGAAAAGTTTTTTTTTAAATAAAATTGCTATGACAACCTGAAACTAACAGTCTATCTGATGGTAAGTGGCTACTGCAGCCCATATTCTAGATGGCGTTTTTAATAACTGTTAGATTCTGAAATGGGCTTAGATTTCTGCAACTACTGAACTTTAAAACAAAATCTACTAATACCGTTATTTTTAACTCCAGACCCAACACATCCAAGTGTACCAGTTACAGTTGAGGACATTGCCGATGCAGTCACACATGCTCGGTTCGTCGGCACTGACCACTCCTCTGATGGTGTAGTGCTTATGAAGATTTTACAAGTGAGTTTTTTTTTAATAATATTCGAGTGAAAAACAAGCTCACACCCACCCAGTGACCACTGCAGCTCATAGTCTCTGTATGCAAATCCATTCTTAATTTTAATATCATAATATTATAATAATGACGGCTCTGTGGTGTAGTGGCTTAGCAATGAGTTTCGGCGCTAAAGGCCGCGAGTTTCCGCACGGTACAAGTATTTGTATGCCCTACAAGTAATTGTTCCGTGTCTGGATGTTTGTCCTTGTACAATTTATGTATGTAAACTGCCTCCACGATATAGGAGTAACTCCTAGTGTGGGCCTCACGTTTTTATTTAAAAAAAATTAAATTGGAACGAGTACAATAAAAAGCTAGGGTGTTAAATTTTTTTTAATGGGCTAGGATGACAAACGAGCACAGTTTGCGTATCAAAATGCTGATGCGTTGTCACCCATGAGGACTAAGATGGAATGCCCCTTTTCCAGTAAAAAGGGTCTCCGGTTCTCTACACTCACCATACGGAACACAGCAGCGTTAAGCTGCTATTTTACGCTGGTATTCTGTGAGAGCGTGGTCCTTCCCCGGTCGAGCCGACCCATTCGTGCTACAACTATACTACTAATATAGCTGCAGCATGTACAAAATGAATAATTTAAATCAAATACGCCTGATTTCTGACAGATTACAGATAGCAAGAGGACTACACCTTAATATGCAGTGTTCTGAGTAGTGTGCACAATAACGAAAATTATGTTGATTTAAATTTTTATTTTCATACCATTTATATTTACAGGTTCTCCGCACTTTAATGCTGAGTCCTGAAGGTGCCATGTTGACAGACGAGAGTGTCTGCGAGATTATGCTCAGTTGTTTTCGAATCTGTTTCGAAACAAGATTAACAGGTTGGTTTCATACTATTTATTTATAAAATTGATGTGTCAAATGAAGTTAAAATCCATCGAAATCTAAGCGGCTCCTTCGTTCTATGGCCACCTGCAACCAACTTTAAATGAAAAAGGCTACAGGTGCAATGCCACCTCTGAGAACTACGATGGAATGCATCACAGCTTTTAATTTTACTCTGTATACGCTTCAGACCACAACACAATAGTGCAAGCACTGCTATTTGATGGCAGGAATAAGTAAGTGGGTGACACCTACTGAGATAATGGGTTTGTTATAAATTAATTTGCTTAATTCCGCGTAAAGAAAGAAAATGATGTGTCTTGCCCAGTTTTAAGAGGACCTCCCACCCTCCCTCAATCGCGCGAACTATACCCGTTGCCGACAATCCCAGCACTACCATCCCCAGCATCACCACACTAGGTACGACACACTACTCTCGAAAATACGACACGTGTTTCGCCTCTACACGAGGCATCCCGAAGTAGACTCTGCGGAGGCTGGCCGCTAAGGCCAGATTGGTAGTGCTGGGATTGACGGCGACGGGTATAGTGCGCGCGATTGAGGGAGGGTGGGAGTTAAAACTGGGCACATCATTTTCTTTCTTTACGCGGAATTAAGCAAATTAATTTATAACAACCCCATTATAATGGATTTCCCCAAAGTAACGCCTGATTCTATCAATTAACCTACTGAGATAGACTACTACCATCTAAAAGAGAGCTTGAATTATATTGATGATGTCCTCCAGACCGAATTTCGGCCACCGAGGCCAGTCTCAATGGAACTAGCCATCTGCTCAGGACAGGATTATAGTGGCCAAGTGTATGCGCACCCACTATTACCTCACTCTCATAGTCCGATTGGTAGGTAAACCGACACGACCAGAGAGAGATCAAAGATGGCACAGGAGCAAAGGCTTTACGTGCTCTCCAATGCATGGAGGTGAAACACCACTAACTTCCTGACTCCGGGCAGCTACTGAGAATTTCTTGACAGAAAAAATAACTTATTTTTTTGACCCGTCCTGGGTGTGAACCCGGGTCGGTCACCGGATCACTAGGCCAGCGAGGCAGTGCATCATATAATGTCTCGCATAGGATGAGTTACTTTTGCCTATTGCGTTATCTCTATGTAAACCTTCTATCTCTACAACTTTTTATAATTTTTTGTTCGACTTTATTACTGCTTATGGACAGATAGAGAGCAATGCCATGAGAAATCTAAGCTACATTTTATCCGAAAATCTAGAAAGTTTTATTAAAAAAAACATTATAAATTAAAAAATGAAAAAAAAAATGAAAAAATGTTTATTTAAGTTAAGGTTTTTTTTGTATATAGGATAAGGGTGACAAACGAGCACACAGTCCACCTGATGGTAAGTGGTTGCTGCGGCCTATAGACATCTACATCTATCCTCTATTACAAATCAAAATGCAGATGCGTTGTCATCTGTGAGTACTAAGATGGAATGCCTCATTTCCAGTAAAAAGGGCATCCGGCCATCTGAACTCACCAAGCGAAACGCAGAGGTAAACCTCTACTTCACGCTGGTATTCTGTGAGGTCGTGGTACCACCCCGGTTCGAGCCGGCCCATCCGTGCGACAGCAAAAGCTGCCGCGTGGCTCTACCACTGTTAAAAATAAAAAAATGGCTTTCATATATTGACACCGAGTCGACGGTCGATTATTACATTACGTAAACTTTTTTTAATAAAATAAAATATTACAATTTATCTGTATATAATTGTATATATATTGTGTTTTTATAGGATAGGGTGACAAATGAACACACAGTCCACCTGATGGTAAGTGGTTGCTGTGACTATGGGACACAGACAGCCTCGATTACGAATCAAAATGCAGATTTGTCACCCATGAGGACTAAGATGGAATGCCTCTTTTCCAGTAAAAAGTGTCTCCGGTTCTCTACACTCATCATCCGAAACATAGCAGCGTTAAGCTGCTATTTTACGCTGGTATTCTGTCAGTAAAGAAAATACTGTTAATTTGACTTTATACATGGCCTTTGATTATGTTAAAGAACCCATAGTCTAGTAAAATAGTATAAAACAAATACAATGAGCAATATTTAATGAAACACTTTATAATGGACAGAGTTACTGCGTAGAAACGCCGAGCAGTGTCTCCGCGACATGACGCAACTGATCTTTATGAGGCTGCCGCAGTTTCCGCCAGAGGACCCCTCCAGCAGTTTGACGACGCTTAACCTTTCGCTCAAAAAGCGCGACAAGACTTCTAAAAAGCGGAACTTGACCACAGCACATAGTAAGTGTTTTGTTCTGTTATTTTTTCAATGTTTTTGGAACGAAGTTCCTTAGAAAAAGTGTAAGATTTTTCCGTTACGACCTCTTTTGACGTAGTGTACACGGCCTTGGCGGCTATAAGGAAGCGAGATGGAATAATATCCATCTCCCTCGCACTTTTTCTTATCTTTTACTTATTTTATTTTAAATGACGCTTCATTTTAATAGACGCTAATAGTTCATTTATTTGTGTTTGTTAACCTATACAAATAAATAAAATTGAAGTGTCTGTTTGTAATGTCAAAATTACAGTTTTTTACTAAATGCATATGAAAGTAAATACGGTACTTATAACTAAAATACAATTTTTAAAATTTTTGTCTGTCTGTCTGTCTGTTTGTTCCGGCTAATCTCCAAAACGGCTGGACCGATTTAGACGGGATTTTTACTGGCAGATAGCTGATTTCATAAGATTTTCATAAGGGTTCCGCGCAAAAACATAAAAACCCTAACACGCGAGCGAAGTCGCGGGGTACAGCTAGTCAATAATGTAATACGTTTATCAATAATAATATACTACGATGGGAATTTCATTCCAACCGAACGTTCCACGACACTCACGCATGTTTTTTAAGATTTTTTTAAGATTTTTTTCTGATTTAATTATTAGCCTTCCTGCTTTCTAAGTGGACTCCATGGAGGATGAGTGAAAATTCGTTTGTATACAAAACTATGTGTATTTAATGGCGCAGATTTTTTTTTGAAGTGAGTACTTCTTTAGAATAGTGATTTGAAATTCGATAAAACGAAAAAGCTACACAAAAAAGAGACAAACATATACATACAGGTACATACAGGTTTTAGCCATCGAGTGAATGAGAAAGAATACAATATGCAGTGTCTCCTATTATCTCGGTTTCTTTGTGCGGTGCTTCATAGCCTTTGTCTGAAGGTTTCAGCTCTACCGCGTGTGAACTGCACACATGTTTTTTTTGTTGTTTTATCATCATTCATTATAACAGCACGTGATAAGTCCTCTGTTGAACAAAGGATCTAATACTCCATAACAACGTGGGTGTTGTGAGAGGCAATTATAAAAAATGGCTTTTGATAGATGGTGGCGGTGTAGACATCTACATAGTTTACGTCAGGTTAAAAGAAACTTGACCGGTGACGGACAGCAGTGTCATAGGTGTAAGACGTGTCGTACTGAGATCAGTTTGCCTATTGACACATGCCTATCAGCTTAAAATCAATACTAATGTTATATTTACACAAGTCAACAAAACCGTACGAAAAAATGAAGTCAACCACTTTTACCGACAGAGAAGCATGCCATTACTGTGCAGTCCTCTTACCAAACTGTCATATTTAAAGATTTATTGTTATTCTATTTGGGGGTACTTGTTTACTTTGTTCATTAATAAAGTAAATTGAATGTAGGTAATTTAATATTCACTTATGACACTTGTCTTTTGTAATGTTACCAAGCTTAATACATAACAATATTCAACCAATGAATTTTATACTATACTCTGAACATATTACAAACATTTTTGACAGTGAATACCTTGAGGAAAACAGTTAAAGATGCTGGCATTTTCCTTTCCACCTAACATCTATTGTAGATCCACGTTGTCATTTGTTTTGATTACTTTTCATGAAAATTGAAAAGGAAGTGAATTTGATGTCCCTTAAATCTGCCCTCATTATGTGTTCACGATTATCTCCACCTTTGGTATACGGATTGACGATTACAGTAACTACCTCTCCTTACATCTTATATTGTACTAACGTTCGATGTTTCGCCTGTTTTAGGCTTTTTTATTTTTTTCCCATTGTGATATTTTTTGATAATAATCAGTCTTGTAATATTTCAGTTATTAAGCCGCTCTGCACAGCTAGCATTGGCTAGGTACCAAAAAATTATCCCCCGATTATATCCACTGACAAGAGATAAAATTATCTTGTCCTTATGCCAAAGCACGGCAGCGGAGGAAAGGAGAATATTTCCCCCGTCTGTAGTATGGAGCCAAATGAAAGATAAAAAATTATGCTTTTATAACATTGGAAAGAGGCAATTTTATCCTAGTTCATTGGACGTGGGTTTAAGTTTATATTCATACAAGAAAATATATCTAAGTCTAAGTCTATCTCCCATTTTATCTAATGTGGGTATTATTTGGGTGACCCGTGTGCCCATGCTTGAAGGGTGGATAAAATTAAGCGAGGGGATAAACATTTTGTCCTTTACCCTGGGATAAAATTGTCTCCTACTGAGGTTACCAAGAAACTTTTTAATATAAAATTATAAAAAAACAATCGATGAAAAGGACACTCTTTTTTTTTTTTTTAAAAACGTTACCCCCACTAGGATTTTCTCCTGTGTCGTGGAGGCAGTTTACAAACATAAATTGCACAAGGACAAACATTCAGACCGGAACAATTATTTGTAGGCCATACAAATACTTGTTCCGTGCGGGATTCGAACTTGCGGCCCCCAGCGCAGCAACTGATTGCTAAGCCACTGCGCCACGGAGCTGTCAAACACTCATTTATGTATATATCAACATTCTTATATGTACATACGTCATATTTTCATATTTAATTAATTTTTATCAATATTTTTCATTAAAGTGAATCGAGTCTGAGCTGAAGCTTGTACATTTTTATATTTCCTAAATAAATAAATATTCATAATTCATTTCCACGAACTTTACCTCAAACATTGTTATTGATTTGTTGGAAAATTTCATAGGATTATAATATATTTGCCCGCGATGTTGGGCAAACCGACAACAGATGGCGCCTGTAGTCTCATAGATCGCGCTATGGTTTCCCTTTACGGTGTTGGTGCTACATTTTACTGTTTAGTGTTTTGACAAAAAGGGTGTTTGCCGCTTCGATGGCACGCGACCGGCAACGGTCTGCGGGGTATGGTTATCAAGACATACTCAACACGTAATTTTTATATTCGCGAGGCAGTTGGATACCCATACGTATCGGCGCCTCGTTTCTTAATACTAATTAATCATGCTCTCCCTTGCCTATTGCGTTTGATGTATGCGATTTGATTAATATACAACCCAGTGTCTCCATATGCAAATCGAGAGATACGGTACGGTGTTGTTAGAAAAAATTACGGTAGGTTTTTTTCTAACAACACCGGTAACTTACTACATACTTTTACAACTTGGGTAAACAAATACAACATTATGAACAAAATCAAGTCCAAATAAATATATTTGCTTTGAATTAATTACTGACAATTTATTTTAATTGCTAAAATAAAACAATATTATTCTGAATCTGACTCTCCTAGCATGACAATTTTCTTTTTCAAATGGCTAGTGGATAAGTGTTTTTATACGATACAAGAGTTCATGCAACATAAACGTGTATGTGGTAGAGCCATGCTAAAGCTATATTACTTGTATAGTTGTAGCACGAATGGGTCGGCTCGACCGGGGAAGGACCACGCTCTCACAGAATACCAGCGTAAAATAGCAGCTTAACGCTGCTGTGTTTCGTTTGGTGAGTGTAGAGAACCGGAGACCCTATTTTCTGGAAACGAGGCATTCCATCTTAGTCTTCACGGGTGACAACGCATCTGCATTTTGATTCATATTTGAGGATAGATGTAGATGTCTATGGGCGACAGCAACCACTTAACATCAGGTGGACTGTGTGCTCGTTTGTCACCCTTATGCTATAAAAAAAAACGAATGTATATGATTTTTTGTAAAACTAAATATAATGTAATATAATATAAATAATAATAAATATGCTAAATAATAATATAAATTGACATTTTTGTAAGTAATATAACAGTATTTTAATTGTTTTATATAATTATAAATATTTGCATGCCTACGAGGGCGGCACTGAAAATTTCGGGAATCAAGGAAGTGACACAACATTACTATTTAAAAATGTATTTATTGTTTTTCGAAGTATTCTCCGCGAAATTTGACACATTTTTCCATTCGGAAGTTGGGGTCTCCAAAATGGCCGTTTTGTAGGCGTCCACAGCTTCTTCAGGTGATGAAAATCTCTGTCCACGCAATTTATTCTTTATTTTAGGGAAAGTATAGAAATCATTAGGGCTTAGGTCGGGGCTGTACGGCGGATGGTCTAATAATTCTATGTTTTCTTTCTCTAAAAACTATTTTGTCCTGTGTGCGGTGTGAGAACTCGCATTGTCCTGATGGAGGATGATGCGGCGGTTGCAGTTCTCTTACGGAGTTCAGAAACGACCTGTAGCAAACAAATGCTAGCATACCATTCCATTCCAGTTATTTGTCCTTCAAGAGGAATAGTTGTAACATGGCCGGTTTTGGAGACAAACGTGGCCACCATTTTTTTTGCAACACTCCGTGAACGAACAATTTTTGTTGGCTTTAACTCATTTTCGAACACCCAAACTCGTGACTGGTTTTTTGTTTCGGGTTCGTACGCGTATATCCAGGATTCGTCACCTGATACGATGTTGTATACAGCATTTGAGGATCCTGCGTGGAACCTTTCGAGAGTTCTGAAGCACCAAGTAACGCGAGCCGCTTTTTGCTCTTCACAGAGCGAATGCGGTATCCATCGGGAAAACTTTTTACACCTAATTGTTCATGCAAGATTATTTGTATTTGACTCATGCCAATGTCTAAAGTTGCCTGAATTTCGCGGTATGTCACATGTCGATCTTCCTCAATCAGCTTACGCACAGCATCAATGTTTTCTTGGGTGATTGCAGTTTTTGGACGACCTTGACGGGGATCATCACTAAGCTTGACACGTCCACGTTGAAATTAAGCAAACCAGCGATAAATTGTGGTTTTGGATGGGGCTTCATCACCAAATACAGAAATCATCCGGTCAACACACTGTTTTTCTGTTAAACCACTTCGAAAGTCATAATAAATCATCGCTCTTGAATTTTCTCGAGTCAATTCCATTTTATCAACGACTAAACCTTCTGACAAGACCAAGAATCTTTTTTTAAATAAATAAATGCTATTCAATTTTAAA